GTGACAAGTTCATTCTGGTGCCCAGTATTACGTTGAGTGCCGAGCCAGAGTCAAGGAGACGCGTACCACATCATGTCCAGCCCTAAAATGACTAAAAATTTCCTGGGGGAGACAATCTGAATTTCTGTGAGAACCTTGTGGGTCAGTTCTGTGCTGGGTTGTCCGGTGGCAACTGGAAGAGAAGAGAAGCTCAAAGAGGGGACTCCGGTGGGGGCAGCTGGAAGGGTGTGAGTAGGGTTGGGCTTTAGAATCTGCAAGATGCTGGCAGAGCGAACTGTGTGCCCCACAGTGATTTGACAGGAATGCAAAAGCATCCCGGAAGAAATTCCCCAAATAATTAGTTGCATCCCTCCTTGTGGATCTTTCCTTTTGGCTGAAGGAAACAGCAGCATTCCTCCACCTTGCTGTGAAAGTCTTGCTGGAATCCTCTACGTTCTTTCTAGATTAATCATTTCCATATTAAAGAAAAAGAGCTACATGTGACCTTAAGTGGATAGGGCTTCTTCTGGGCTTGAACCCCCTGGGTTGGTCTAAACCAGAGGTTCTTAAATATTTGAGCAGCAAGAACTCTTTATAGACTCTCAAAAACAACAGAGGACTCGCAAGAATGCTTGTTTACGGGTTATATCTATCAATATTTACCATATTGAAATTAAAACAGAAAAATTGAAAATGTTTATTCATTTAAAAATAACACAAATAAGCTCATTAACATTAGCATAAATAGCATATATGATATATAATAGCATATATATAGGAAAATACCTGTATTTTTCCTAGACAAAGTAAAATTTCCTAAGAGTGGCATTGTTTTATATTTTTTCACACATCTAATATCTGACTTAATAAATGATAGCTTTTTTTAAAAAAATCTGCTTCTGCATTGTGATGTAATAATACATTGTTTTGGTTGAAGTATATGGAGAAAATCTGGCCTTGCACAAATATGTAGTTGGAAAAGGAAAAGTATTTTAATAGTCTTTTCATATGATTGTGGAAAATCTTTGATACTATACCAAGAGTGGTTGCAATGTCGGATTGGAAACCCTATCAGCAAGTTACATAAAGTCCATTGGCTTTGACTGCATTTTACATGCATCTTTACTCAGACGTGATTTTGTAACGTCATATATTGTTCAATTGGAGGAACTTGGTTCATGAGATCTCCTAAACATTAACACACTTCGTTATACATTTTTTTAAAGATTTTATTTATTTATTTGACAGACAAAGATTACAAGTAGGCAGAGAGGCAGGAGAGAGAGAGAGAGGAGGAAGCAGGCTCCCTGCTGAGCAGAGAGCCCAATGTGGGGGCTTGATCCCTGGACCCCGGGATCATGACCTGAGCCGAAGGCAGAGACTTTAACCCACTGAGCCACCCAGGTGCCCCATTATATATTTTTTAAAATCACATTAATTAATATTCCTACTGATAATTTGGAAGTATTGGGAAACTGTCAAGCTTCTGATGAAGGATATAAGTTTTTGAAATTTCTAGTTAGGGAAATAATACAAATATTAATTGATCATAACAATATAAGTTAATTCTGTGCTAAGTTGCTTGGCAGAGCAACTTAAGTGGAAGGGCTGAGGACCTCAGTAAAAGGGCAGAGTAAAGAACTTCTGAAGATTTCTCCTCCATAAAAGCAATAAGAATGCTGGCAAAGTGTATCTGAATCGGCTTTTTCAGGATTCTGAAAGTCAATTGGAAAATCTGAGGAGGGTTTATTCAAGAAAAATGGCTGCATCTCAGGAAAAATAGCAAATTTTCTGGTGGTGTCACTTTCCCTGTCGTACCCCTCATCCTCATCTCCATGGAGTCCGGTAAACCAAGTGTTGACAATCTTGGTGAAAATCAGCAGTCTGGCAGCCACGAGAAGGGGCAGAACTGCAAAGCCCCATTCCCGGGGAATTGTCATCAGACCTGTCCGGTGGCTCCCTGAACAATCACACTCACAGGACTGTCTTTATGTGTTCAGACTCAGAGTTCAACTAGCAGGAACAACCTTCTCCCTGAGACATTTGTTCGGAAAATATTCAGAGCCAACTATTTAACATCATGGCTGCCTGAGGCACTAGATAACTGGTGAGACAAACAACAGGCTAACCAAAAAGATTAAAAGGGAAGGCTAGGGAATGAGATGTCCATAGGGGGCATTGAAAATCTCCAGCATGTTTCTGGGAATCCATGCACAGGTGTATGGCTGTGAGCTTGTCCAGGGATGTATGCATGCTCAGGAAAGACCTGAGAAGACATTAAGCTCTCAACTCTAACTGACCTGAAGGCTCTGTGCTAGCAGGAAGTGAAGGCTAAGATAGAGTTTTCCACTGCTTGGCTAAGTGTTGAAGGCATGCCCCACCATGTGCACAGAGCTCCTCAACAAAAAGTGGGAGACTTACTGGTTCCAGGCATCTAAGGACATCTCCTTCGAAGTTAACCGAGCAGAGACTTCAGTGATCACAAACAACAAAGAATACGGATTTAAAGAATTAGCTCAGAAAAGTCACTAAATGAACAACAACAAATGGTGGGAAAGGGGGAGATCTGCTTTCCAGGGTGGCCACATTATATTGTTTAGAATGTCCAGTCTTTGCAAAACAATTAGAGACATGCAAAGAAAGAATAAAGCATGGCCCATATGGGGCTGGGGGGCAGGGAAGAAGCAAACAATAGAAACCATCTGTGGACATGCTAGATAGAGATTTTAATTAACTATTTTAAGTATGTTCAAAGAACTAAAAGAAGCTATGTCTAAACAATGAAAGGAAAATGTGAGAACAATGTCTCAGTAAAGAGACAGAAATTGTAAATAAGAACTACATGGAAATTTCGAAGCTGAAAAGTATAATGACTGACATGAAAAATTCACTAGAGGGCTCAAGAGCAGAGGTGAGTCTATGAACTTGAAGATGATAGATTGAGATTACCCAGTTTTCAGAGCAGAAAGGAAAAAGAATGGAAAAAAAGTGGACAGAATCTCAGAGACAACATATGTATAAAGGGAGTCCCAGAAGGAGATGAAAGAAGCAGAAAGAATATCTGAAGAAAGTGGAAGTTCATAGTTCAGAGAAGGGACTGCAGTGATAGCTTGAACGCTTGGATTTTTTTTTTTTAATTGAGGTATAACTGACATATAACACCACATTAGTTCCAGGTGTACAACATAATGATTCAAGGTTTGCATACGTTGTGAAATGATCAGCGCCGGAAATCTAGTTCATGTCAATTACCACACATAGCTACAAATTTCTTTTTCTTGTCATGAGAACTTTAAAGATCTACTCTTTTAGCAACTTCCAAATACACAATGCAGCATTATTAACTATAGTCACCATGCCTCAGGACTTACTTATTTTATAATTGGAAGTTTGTATCTTTTTAAAAACTTTGGATTTTTATCACTAGCAACAAATACTTTCAGTTTTCCTTGAAGTGGCAGGTCTACTTTGTTTTCAAGACGATGTTCACCACATATCTGAGGCTTGAGAATCATTTGTCCATTGTTCTTTCAAGCAAAAATTATACTCCATGAAAAAGCGGCTAGTTCAGCTTGCAACTTAAAACAATCATACAGGTGCTTTCCCTTGAGATGACTATCCTCTCAAGGAAATCCAGCAGAGATGTTTTGAGCATATTTCTCATTTCCTTACAGGGCAGTTAAAGGCTTTGTCAAGATTTAATGAAACTGGGGCTCCTGGGTGGCTCAGTGGGTTAAAGCCTCTGCCTTCGGCTCAGGTCATGGTCCCGGGATCCTGGGATCGAGCCCTACATCGGGCTTTCTGCTCAGTGGGGAGCCCGCTTCCTCCTCTCTCTCTGCCTGCCTCTCTGCCTACTTGTGATCTCTGTCAAGTAAATAAATAAAATCTTTTAAAAAAAGATTTAATAAAATTAACAATTTTTACTGATGCGTCAGAAACATATCAAGTGAAATGTTTTGGGTTTTGGTTTGTTTTTAACCGCAGCTGTATGGCAGTGAAGAATTCTACGACAACTAGTATAACTTGGAACCACTGCCTAGATTCACGCTAAGCTACCAACAGTTTTCCCATCCTTTGCTTTTTATCATCACTCCATATGTCAACACAGTGAAAAAGACAAATAATGTTTCAGTATTTTTGTGATAATAGTTTTGATCTGCCGGATTCTCTGAAAGGTCATTGGGACCCCTAGACCACACTTTGAAAAGCACTAATTAAAGCTATTCACCAAGGGAAGCTTTAAAATGCTCTCAGCAATTTTCTCACAGCAAATAGCTGGCAGAGAAGGGCTCTTGAACTCTGGCAGTGGGCAGCAGCATGGAGGGCTGACATTTTGCTCACTGTAATCACTTAGGGGCTCTCTTAGGCAGATGACTTCCTCTCTTTGGGCCTCAATTTCCTGATTTAGTAAGAGGAAGAAGACCTATGTCTGGGTCCCACTACCCCTTAGAGATTCTGATTTAATGCTCAGTACATGGGGCTCCATGATTTAATTTGGGGCAGGAGAAGGCTGGGTCCATCAATCCAGGAGTGGAAGGGAGGATGCCAACCTTAGAAGTTCCTTGGGATCTCGCCAACTTAGGATGGTTTGTTTTGTGCTTTGGGAACAAGGACTATAAATGTGAGTGAGAACTGAGAGCACAGGGCAAGCAAGAATATGAAAATAAGGGGTTGGGAAATAGAATGTAACAAGTGCAAAAAGAAGAGAAAGAATCATTTTTTTTTTTCTCTAGCTACCAGCATGACAGACCTATCAGTCCAGATTGTCTTTGAAATCCCTACATTCCAATCCCCACCCTTACTGCCCCCCTGGGGGGTTGGGTTTTCACACACACTCCGTCATCTACCTCTTCATTCCCCACTCCACTGACACATATAAAACAGAAAGACTTACTCCCATGTGGACTGAAAAGTGGATTTCCCCGGCTCAGGTTGCTTCTCTTCTCCCTTTTGTCTCCTGGAAGTCATTCCTCTGGTCCCCAGAAAACTCTCCCAACAAGATTAAAATTGCTGGAACAAACCCTGCATCTGACCAGACGCCCCAAGGACAGAGTTTGTGGGAGCCAGAGCTCAAGCCATTGGCTGGAGGTAAGACACGAAATCCTTTCTGGGCTTCAGGTGTTGTTCTGTTTTACTATGTGCCACTTTCCAGGGGAGGAAAACAATATCTGGGAACAAAATGTCAGCAGTGTCTTCACTGGGGCAGCCAGGAATGTGGGGGGCGGGGGGACTTTGGAGGCCTCCCACCCCCTCTGCACCCTGTGGGTTTTCTGAGCCTTGCCTGCCCGTGCAGCAGGGAGCAGGAAGAGCGTCTGGCTCAGTAAATACATGATGACATCCATGTCCTTGCCGCCATCACAGCGCCAGGTGAAGGTCAAAATATTCTCTTACACAGACTGTATCTTATTACTTGCCTAACTGCTACTATCAATTTGATGGATTGAATTATTCAGAATGACTAAAGGAATAAGAAAGCCTTGGGTTTTTTCATGCCCTCAAGCTAAGTTTGTTGTAGAGAAAGGAGAATTCTAATACTAGCAACACACACAACTTCTTGATCGTATTTTCTATAAGCAGCGAGATACATTTCAACACCGATAAGGAGTTTCCATATACATTTACCAATTTACTCATTTATCCAATGGATTTATTGAACCACGAGTGTGAGGACTTGGAACTGTGCGGCTCCTGGGTCCACCTGCCTCCCTATCCCAACCTCTGCTCCCTTCCCTGCTCTGTTCTGTCTCCTGGTGCTGACCCTTTAGGCCCAGACTCCCCGGTTCCCAGGGCCACTGGCGTCCTTCTGCATTGGACCACAGGGAGGCAGGAGATTGGAGAGTGGGGAGAAGGGAAAAGTCACCCACAGGTGGGATTTCTAGGAGGACATTCCTTCTGTCCTCTTCAGCAGCTCCAGGTCCCACAGGACAGGCCCACAGGGTTCCAGCTTCTGCCTTGTAACCCAGAACTAGTTGCCTTACCGCCTCCCCTCACCTGAGCAGCCTAGGGAATGGTGGCTTCCTACTGGTGCTCATTTCTGGGTGACCCGCATTGGGATCACTCACCTGTACAACCCCACATTGAATGTTCGAAAATAGTTGGTTTGGTTTTTTTTTTTTTAAGATTTTATTTATTTATTTGACAGAGAGAGAGAATGAGTGGGGAGAGGGACAGAGGGAGAGGAAGCAGGCTCCTGGCTGAACAGGGAGCCCAACGCGGGGCTCCATCCCAGGACCCTCGGATCATGACCTAAGCTAAAGGCAGATGCTTAACTGACTGAGCCACACAGGTGCCCCGAAGAGAGTTTTTGTCTTCCTGGTTAGACCCTGACAGATAGAGAGATGATTTAGTTCATGGATGTTGGAACTGAGGCCCTGGGAAGATGTGAGCGTCTTATGTAACACAGTTAAAAAATTATAAGAAACGACTACAACGTGTAAGGCACTATATTAGGCTCTATGTAGACAATAAAGATGGTAAATTCCTAGGCCCTTTCTAGGAGCTTTTCAGCCAATAAGAGAAATGATGTAGATATACCAACGGTTACAATACAGGACGGTACGTGGTAAGGGCAATTAAAAATCCAATCAGTTATGGAGATTCGGGTCGGGGGTGCAAGATAATGAGGGAAGGTTTCCTGGATATTCAAAAGCTGAAGCAGGGGCACCTGGATGGCTCAGTGGGTTAAGCCAGTGCCTTTGGCTCATGTCATGATCCCAGAGTCCTAAGATTGAGTCTCGAATCAGGCGGGAGTGTGCCTCTCTGCCCCTCCCCTGGCTTGTTCTCTCTCTCTTTTGCTCACTCTCTCTCTCAAATAAATACATAAAATCTTAAAAAAAAAAAAAAGCTGAAGCAAGCGTATGAAATACACAGTAGGATTTGGCAAGAAAGTCGGTATATGGCTGGGGTTGGGGAGGGAGCTGATCACTCCAGGCAGAAGAAACAGCCTCAAGGTGAGACTGAGGGCACAGTGGGCTAAAAGGCAGGGCCACTTTCATTATTTATTATTTAAACACAATAGTTTTGAGGATGAAAAGGGACACTATTAATACTTACACCGAGACCACAGGCAGAAACCAGGGGAGAGAAATTGAGAGCATAACACTTGTCTCCTTCCCCAGGGGAGCTGTCAATTTTGCAGAGAGATAAGACTTTCAGGTGTTATATGGGGAGCAATACACAATTTGCAAACTCTAGTGTCATTGAATCCCAAAAGGCACAGTTGAGGCAGGGAGCATTTCTGGTGCTAGGAGGGGAGAGGTCAGGGTGGCCCAGATCTTCAGACAACGTGCCAGGAGCATGGAACTTGAGCGTAGTAGGAAGGATTAAATTTTGGCTGGTGGGGAAGTGGGGAGGGCATTCCTGGCAGACGTACCAGAGCTGGAATGAGCAGATCGTGTGTAAGGGACAGTGAAGGAATGAGCTGGTGGGGAGAGGGCCCTAAAGGACAGGAGCTGGGGGCTGAAAGGCACAGAGTTCTGCTCGGGGGCATGGCGCATGAATGAACGGCAGTGGAAATTCTACTTTTCGCCTTCCGAGTGTAATTCTGAGCAGAGAAGAGAGGCAGATTGCAAAGCCAGTACAGCACAAGGGTGAAGGGGCAGACTTAGGGGCAAGACTGCCTGGGTCCACATGCTGCCCACTCACTGTGCAACGTGGACAAGCTAGGAAAGTACTGTAACTGGACCCACACCAGAGGACGACATGAGGACGACGGGAGGTTATTCCTAGAAGGGCTTACAGTAGGGCCCCGTGCACAGGAAGCCGGGAATTGGGAGCTCTCAGGGCTGGCTGGACGTTAGAGTCACTAGGGGTGCTTTCTAAAAGTACCAGGGCCAGAGGACTTTTTAGGGCAGTGAAGCACTCCGTAGGTTACTATAATGTTGAATACGTGTCATTATGTGGTCATCGAAAAGCAGGGGCTGTGCGACACCAACAGTGAGTCCTAACATAAGACACGGACTCTGGGTGATGATGGTGGCTGCTGTAGGCTCACTGATTAGTAACTGCGCTACTACCCCAGTGGGGGTTGTTGACGGTGGGGGAGGCTGCGCATGGGGATGGGTCAAGGGCGGCTATGGAAACTGTGCTTTCTGCTCAGCTTTGCACTGGACCTAAAACTGCTCTAAAGAGTGAAATATTTAAAAGGGGGAGAAATACCAGGGTCAGGGCTCTACCAAAAAAGGCAATTAAGCAGCATCTCAAGGGTGACCAGTTTCACCACGGGTGGTTTTGAAGCTTCCTTGGTGATTCTAAAGGGGAGCCAGAGCTCAGAGGCATTGAGCTAAAAAGGATGTTAGCCCGTGTGTGGTCGTGAAAGAGGTAGGGGAGCTGGTAAATTGATGGAAGAGGAGGGATCTTTGCTTGGCGTGTATCAGGAGTGATTTCTTGGCTCTTTTTTGGCACAAAAGCACTAAGCTTTTGACAGCGTTTTGAGCCTTTGGGTGTAGTGGTGGCTGATCAGATAGTCTTTAAATAAGAAAGAAGCCAACTGACTTCAGAAAGGAGAAAAAACAAACAAACAATTATAGCATTACTACCATCAGGCTTAGTTAATAGACAACAGAACCCTCTTATCAAAAGAAAACTCAAAGGTGGTTGGAAACAGTCCCTACCCCACACCCAGGCTAGTGTAATGCCCAGAATGTGTCCAAAAATCTCAAGGTACATTGTGACAATAGAAAAACTCCTATGTTAAGTTGTAAATCCATCTATGAAAGACATGGCATCTTGAGCGCAGGACCAAGAACACACCCCTTAACACTGCAGGACCCAGAGCTCTTTTGTAAGAGCAAGCTAACTTCACATCCTGCAAGACCAGTGCTGCTAACTCATCAAACACCCAGCATGCCCCAAATCACATTCTGGAATTTCCTTTCCAAACCTGCTTCTTGTCTCAAAAAAATTCATCATTCCATTCTACTAATCATTCATGGGGCACACATCAGAGTCCCATTTTTTCACTCCTCTTCTGCATCCAATCCAGCAGGAACTCCTGGCAGATAAATCCAGAACCTGTGGCTTCCTGCCACCTGCTCCAGGACAGTCCTGGACTGGGCCATTTCCTCTCTTGTCTGGATCATGGCATTGCTGCCTGTGAGTCTTCCTCACTCTGCCCTGTCTTCTCTGCAGCCACAGTGACCTTGAATGCTCCCACCTCCAGCTTCCTTCTGCCCCTTCTGGTCCTTCTGAAGGGAACACTCTGCCACAGGATAATCTCCCCACTGTCCCACTCTTACCCTTCCCACCTGTGCTATGGCACCTCAGCAGAAAACACCTTCTTTCCTGAGACTCCATCCCTTCCCTGCCCTCCTCTACTCTTTGTCACCTGACACTACTGGTTTTGCTGGTGCAACTAATGTACGACTCCTTCTCTATCCCTGTCCCCATTAGGGACAGGGATAGAGATCATAGAGCATGTTCTCTTTTGTATCTGGCTGCTTTACAGGACTTCACTGTGCTCCCTCCTAGGTCCCCAGGGTCTTGAATGGCTCTGGCATACAGGAGGCCCTCCATGAATCTTGATCTTTGAAGGCAGTTCTCAAGATCACTTCTTTTTGAGTTATACTGCAGCACACATGTTAGTAGATTTTGTTTTTGGAGGACAGCTCTGGTAGAGGGAAATGCAGTGAGTAATATAATAGGACCTGTGGGTGCTGGGAGACAGAACTTTTGGCTTCTGATCCTGGCTTTGTTCCTAACCAGTTGTTAAGAACTTGGATGAGTCCCATGACCTCTCTGGGCCTTAGGTGATCTATAAAGTAAAAAATCAATGGGATTTGACCAATCACCTCAGCCCTTCTTAGGTGCTGGACCTGAGTGTCATATTTTTTAGAGTTCTTCATGTGTAACAGAGAGCCAGGAGCGGGACAATCCTTAGAGCTGGGCTTCCTTGTGTCACTGTGCACAGAATCCCTTGGGACCTTGTTAAAATGCAGAATCCGATTGGCGGGGGTGGGGGCTAGGACTTGGGCATTCTAATGAGCTCTGGGGGCAGTGGCTGCTGCTTCTGCTCTGAAATAAATTTTGAGGAGCAAGGTCTTAGGTTCACTTCCAGCTTTAGGACCCCAGTGTTTCTAAAAAGTGAAAGT